GGAGAAAAGTTTGACAAGCTTTGGGGCATGCACTGCCCTTCCTTAGAGCATAAGAGAATGCCCCCCGTGCGGTGCAACCTAGGTCTGATGCAGGCAGCCCCGGGGACCAGTGTGCTGGGGAGGGTGCTGAGGTGCCCTGTGTGCTTGCTCTCCTGTGCTGCACCGTGTGGGGTGGGGAGGGTGCCCCTGAGGTACTGTACCCATACCAGGGCCTCTGGCCCCCAAGGGCAGCTCAGAAGGGAGTCTACATAGGATACCATAGAGCCACCTTTGTGCACTGGTTCCTTCCCTGTCTGCTCCCTCTTCCTTGGCCTCTCTGTTGGCTTGACATGACAGTGGCAGATGGACTGCAGTCTCCATCCAGCCCTCTCCCTATTTCTCTGCTGCCCCTTCTTTGCTGCCAACTCCCCAGCTCAATCCTGTGTCCCTCTCTCTGCCCTCCTTGCATTCAGCCCCACCATTGCTTTCCCTGGTACCTCTGTGCCAGGAAATCCTGAAGTCCTCCTTGCCCTGTGCCCAGGCCCTGTAAGTCCCTGCAGGATGCTGGGCACCTCACTAAAGAGGGGGTCTGCCTTCTCTGCCCATTCCCATGACAGCATATTAGGGACCTGGCCCTAAGTGGGGGCATGGGTTGTGCCACGGGCTGGCACTCCTGGAGGGAGGTGATCCTGCTACCACAATGACATGGAGGCTTTAGTTGCGGCCATGTGGCCCAGCCGGCGTTAATGGGTTTAGCCCTTTCTCAGACGTTCATTTAGGAGGATTTCACAGAACATCCAGTACAGGATTGAAATAAACCCCCCTCCGACGCGCCGGCTAAACACGTCACTTCTCACAAGGCTTATTGCCCCCACCAGCCGGTGTAGTGCGCTGCTGGGACGCCAGGCTCAGGAGGGCGGGGGGAGCATTCATATGAAACAGCGTGTGCACTTACACATTTGCACATAAACACAAACCCATGTGAACACATATACACATGCACATATATGTGAGCACACATACAAAAGCACACATCCACACACAAATGCATGCATGTGTACACACAAATGAAAACATCTGCTCATTCTCAGGCACAGGTGAACTCACAGATATGCCCCCATGCATGAAAATACATGCACACACACCAGAACACATGGATGTGTGCCTGTGTGCACACACCTGCAGCTGATGCACCTCTCTGATCCCTGATGGCTTCAAGAGCCACTGAGCCAAGACTCCACCATAGGGAGCTAACCATAAGAAATGAGAAGCAAGCTGCAGGGCAGGTGTGCAAGGCAGTGATCGGAGCAGGTGCTGGGGGGGAGCAGGGGTGGGGATCCTGGACGTACAGCACCATTCCCAGCTCTGCACTCCCAGCTGCGTGAGTCAGAGCAAATCATTTCAAAGACCACAAGGATGCTGCTCCCAGGGCAGCTTTGTGTGTGCAGTGCAGAATGCCTGGGCTCCCGCAATACGTTGGCTCTGGACCATACCAACCTGCCCCTGTGGACAGCATTCCTCAGCCTATGCTGCTCAGCTAGGAGACAGCGGCCTTGGGAGGGCACGGGATTGAACTGCGGGTATAGATATACATACAGGCTGCCCTGCAAACCACAATGCTGCCTCTTAGCAATCCTCCTTTGCCAAGATGCTTACAAAGTCTCAGCAGCTGCTGTGCTGACACTTGCACCCTTCAGGCTGACTACTATCATCTCAGTGCTCCCGATCAGTCAGTCAGTCTGTATCTACCGGCAGAGATGACCATAGCAGGGTGCGGGGCCTGGGGCAAATCAGCCTGTGCGGGGCCTGGACATGGCGGTGGCATGGTGGTGGGGGAGGGAGGGGGGTGGCGAGTGGCCGGACATGAAGCCGGCCTGGCTCTACAGGGTCCCCCAAAGCGCAGGGTCTGGGGTAGTCATCCCGATTCGCACCCCCTAAGGATGGTTCTGTCTACTGGTTAGCTCCTACCTTAAAATGTGCTGTGTGTGCTTGTTGATCTGGGCCCTGCACTGCTCTGTAGGCTGGTGGGTAAGGAAGAGCCACCCCAAAGGTATTCAGCTGCTTGCTGGGGGTAAACTGGTCCCAGTGCAAGCCCCTATTTGACAACACCCAAAGCACAATCTAAGTTTGAGGTCCTGGTGACATTTCTGTTCTTCAGTCCTCCAGAGTAGCCTGCCTGGCACTCTGCAGATCTCATGCAGTTTGCTCACAACTCCAGGATACACAAAAGCAATTGTTTGGGGTTGAACGAGACACATTAGCTGGCCTGGAGCAATTTTTAAGCCCTTTTTAAAAAAATAAAATGGAGGGGAGCAGCCAAGCGAGGCGCAGAAGTGAATGGGAAAACAGAAACATTCTTGAAATATTTTGTTCTTTTTTTCCTGGATGCAAACAATTTGGCAAAAAAGAGGCGAAAATGGGTCCATGAGGCCAAATCTACATTTTTTACCTAACTTTTTTTTTTTGGACTTCAAGTTTTACTGCACTCTCCTGCTGGCCCCAGGAGGCAGAGCCATAACCAGAGCAAAAGATCAACTGAAAAATCCTGTGACATCTATCTGGAGCAGCACCCCAGGCGCCAGCAAGACCTGGTCGCTATTAGAAGCTGGTCTTTAAAGACAGGTCGAAAGAACTGCAAGAACCGCAGATGGGGGGGCTCTTGCTATCAGCAATGAATAGCAACGAGAACAGGCAGCTGGATAAGGGGGTTTGCTACTGTTTGGTGCGAAGAACTTTTCTTTGTTTAAATAGCCGCCTAGCGCGTTTGGTCTGTTAACGTCCCCACGCTTCAGCAGGGCTCAACTATTTTTTCTGGAAAAAAGTCATTTAGGGAAAAATAAGTTATTTTTGTCCAAAAAGTAGGAACACGGGGATGGCCGGGTGCCTGCAAGCTCCCAGAGGCTCACCTCACAGCCAGCCAGGTGTCTGGGCCCTGCTGCTCTTCCCCAGCCTTCCTGCTCCAAGGGTGAGAAACCTTCTCTACCATCCAGCTGAAACCTGTTCCTGGCCCCTTTGCCCCTGCTGGGGAACACGTTGGGCGGCTCAGCACGAGCAGGCTTTGCTGTGAACAGCTTCATAAACAGGACACCTAGAAAGCCCTTTTCGTGCCCCGGGAAGGTGACCATCGGGGGCTTGCAACAGGCCACAGAGACTGCTCCCCAGCTGGTTCCCCATAATGTGTTTCATTTGACTGGGTGCTGGTGCCTGGGTTGATACCATCCTTTTGCAGCAGTTTTGCTGCGAGTGTGGCTGACTGGGCCAGAGGAAGAGTGAGGCTCTGAGAGAGATGGGGAGAGAAAGGCATAGTCCCAGGATAGAGCTAGTGAGACAGCAGAGTCTGAGGGAGGACTGGGGGAACTGCATGGCACAATAAAGACTGCTTGGAGCAGAGCTGCCTCTTGTGCAGCTTGGGGAGTCTCTGAACCCTCTTTGAGGAGGAACACCCCCCTTTTCTGGGAGCTGAGTGAAGAAGGAGCTCTCTGAGTGGGGAGCGCCACTGATCACCAGGGAAGCCAGGGACAGAGAGGAGCTGCGATCTCAAAGCCAAAGGCTTGTCCCTTCGAATCCGCACTGGGGGTCCTTGGGCAGAGCAAATGAGGCTGCTTCTTGGGGTGCCTCAAGGAAAAGCTCCCCCTGAAAGGGGCAGATCTGTGATAGCAGACACGCATGCATGTAAGCACTCAAATGGACACACATGCATGCACACACACAGAGGTGGGGCTGCTGGGATCAGGGTTGTATGGATGTTGAGGGCAAAGGACCAGACTTGTGCTCCCAGTTTGAAAGCAAAATGGCCCCTTAAAAATTGTCCCTGGACAGGTAAAACTGGTGGCAAGCCCACTTTCTGTCACGTAGCTGCTGGCATCCCCCATGGCTCTAGCTCAGCAGCTCTCCAGCATCCGAGGGACACCTGCTGTCCCCAGCAAAGTCTGTGAGCCACCCCCTCCCCAGCTTGGGTTGCAAGCGGTGCTTTCAGGAGGCAGGAGAGGGAGGGGGGAATAGACATTGCTGGATTAAAACAAAGTAAAAGTTGCAAAGACTCCCGCCCCTCCCCTCACCCCTTCTATGGCTCTAAGGAGAGAAACCCAGGAGCGTGGGAGTCTGGGAAGCAGTCATCTGAAAAAGGGGCAGTATCACTTTAATTAGCTCAGCCCGTCCCACTCCCCCCCTTTCTTAATGAACAGCTAATTGGGCTGTCTAGACAGGAAGACAAAAACCTACACAAGAAAGCAAGCTGTCCCCAATAATATCAGGCACCTGTGGTGCGGGCAGTGGCGGGGCAGGCAGGCGCCTGGCTGGGGTGCAGGGCAAGTGTGACGCTGTGAGGGGCTATGGGGTAGCTAGATGAATGTGAGAGACAGGCAGGCCTGGCCCTCCAGTGCAGGGGAGCGGGGGCTCTGTGGGCTCCTGCATGGGGTGACTACCGGAGCAGGCATCTGATCTCTGTCAGGAGATTCATTCATACAGCCACAGTGGGAATCTGGCCCCACCAGAGACCTTGCACTGGGGAGACTCCATGAGTGCCTCCATCAGGGATATCCTGGGAGCACCCAAGGGGCTTTCCTGGGCAGGGCTATCGAAATGCCAACAGACCATGGGACACTGCCTTAGTGATCTGTGTATGCCTGGAGAGGATACACAGCCTCCAGCGCAGCCCTGGAGAGACTGGGCTGCAATTCCTGCTCCTGTGGCCACTTGCCCTGCTAGAGAATTTGCCCCTGAACTCAGCTCAGCCCCAAGAGGTATTGTGCATGTGGCCACGTCCGCTGCACTGCAAAGCAGACCTAGAAGGAGGTCCTTCAGGGGCCAGACGGGAAGAGCCCCATCCCTGCCCTGCCCCATGCCCTGCACCTCCCTCCCTCCCTCCCTCTGCAGGGCCTCCCTGAACTTGTAACCACCTCGGAAGCCAAGCTGACACATAGCCAGGAAGAGACAGTGGGATCAGAGGCCAGCCTGGGCCCTGCAGGCGGGGGCTGCCTCACCGGGGAGAGGGGCAGGTACCGCATGGATGCCAGACCTACCCCCTTCCATGTCTTCTGTCCAGTTGCGGCTGCTACTCGTGGGCGAGTTGGGTGAGGTGTAGTACTCTCCCCCCGGGCTCGTGTCTATGTCGTCCTCCATGGAGCCAGATTTGTGCCGTTTACTCCTGGGGAAGGGATGTGGTTAGCAGTGATTAACCCACAGGGCTGTGTCCAGGCATCAGTTCCAGCTGCTGTTTAGCCCAGCTGTGTCTGCTTTTCTCTCCCAGGCCTGAGGAAGAGCACTGTGATACTCAAAAGCTTGCCTATTCATACAATTGCCTATACCATTCATACAGTTGGTTCAATAAAAGATATTGCCCACAAGAATTCTTGCCTTTCACGTACCTCCTGGGCCATCATGCCAACAACATCACCTCAATAATACCCAGGCATGAAGCCATTTCACTGGAATTGCTTCCTGAACAGAGCTGGGGGATGGGAGCTAGGACTCCTGGGTTCCACCAGCAGCTCCAGCGTGGACCAGTCTGTTGGTCAGAGCCAAGGACTGAGAGCTGAGACACCTGGGCTCTACTGTCAGCTTGAGGAGGGAAGTGTCATGCCATGGTTTGTCAGGGACAGGAGTCCAGACCTCTGATTTGCTGTTTGACCCTCAGCAAGTCTGGGGCGGTCTTGTAGCCCTTATCCCATAAGTCAACAGCCCAGGGTCATCCAGCCCCAGAGCCACTGGAAAGCTTTCTTAGCTACAGGGATACTCTCCAGTGGAGCAGTGTGTCCATGGAGGTCACTGGGGTCTGCACATCAGGAGAACCAGAGACTGGAAACCCAACATCCAAAGGGCTTTGCTTTGGGATCCTTACAACAAGGCAGTGGATTTTAGCTGCAAGGATGGAGGCTTGGCACCACACCACTGCAAATGGGGCGCCAGGGATGGGCTCCTCACAGGGTGCCACAGAGTCTGTTCTCACCGCAACGCTAATGAGTTACACCAGAAATGAACTTGGCCCAGCAGAGTTTCAAGATGCTTAATGCAGCTATATATAAACTCAGGGCATTGTGCTGCTCACTTTGTCCTTTCAGCTGAGACTGCAGCTACAACCCATCTAATATCTAGTGGGCCTGTCCCGGCAAAAGGTAAGGCTGCTCTGGGCCAAATTCTGCTCCCAACCCCAGCCCAGGACAGACCGCTGCCCAAAGGCCCAAAGCAAGTGCTCAGCTCCCCCAGCCTGTGATCTTGTACCGACTGACATGACAGGGCACTTAAACAATAGCTCCCATCTCCCTGTGCACAGGGCTCCTAGGATGGAGCGCAGGGGCTCTTTGACAGCCACAGTGTCTGGGACAGGGACGGATGAAGACCATATTCTTGGGAACCATGAGAGGGAGTCGAGGGAGACAGATCCACCCACCTGAGGGTGGAAGCTGTGTCTGGTGCTAGCAGTTCTGCTCATTCCAAAAGTTCCCTAAGCCTCAGAGGTCTGTTCCAGAGGAAATCACCTCCAGCAGCGCATGGCCCCGAGCAGTGTGCTGGGGCACAGCTCCAGGCCTGCGTCACAGGGAACAGCCCCCACTGCTGGGTCACCCAGCTATTGTCTGCAGAACCTCAGGGCTCCTCTGCCTGTCACCCATCCAAGTCATAAGTAGCCTTGGCCCTGCTTCGCCTGCTAGAGCTGACAAGACCATCTCCCCCACCCCCTTCCAGCACTACAGCTGCCAAGGTCAAGGGCATTCGAAGTTGGGCCTGGAAGCCACAAAGCCAAAAAAACATGTAGGTTAACCCTTTTACTGCTGGATCTGTTCCCTGCAGAGTTGTGCTGGGCCCCACATCCCCGGCATGCGAGGCAGCGCTGATGAGGTTAAACAATAAGCGCTCTCCTCCTCCCTCCCCATCCCCATCCAGGCTAGGGTTGCATTGCCTGGTGAGACAGCCCCAGCTCGGCTCTAGGCCAGGTTGGAAGGAATGCATTCACCTAGGTGGCCGTGTCAGGCAGGGAGAGGGCAAAGAATGAAGGGGAGGAGAGGAACCCAGGCAAGCTGGCTGTGCCCACCTGCCTGGCCCCAGTTGGCAGCCCCAGCCAGGATAAAACTAGACCTGGATTTATACCAAGGGGCACAGAGCAGAGCAGGGCCAGGGGAGCAGTATCACAACTCTGCACTGCATGTGTTGGGGGGCAAAGGACTGTCCACATGATCCCACATGTGAGATGTGTGTGGGTGGTTCCCTGTGTGGCCCCATCTCCTCGCTGGGATCTCTTGGGGGGCTGTCTCCACATAGACATTCAGGGAGGAGGCAGGTGACTCGATGTCCAATGTGTGCACTGCGCCAGGCATCTGCTTCCATGAGTGCGTGCCCCCCTTTGTGCATCGCGGGCATCCCTCAGAATGGACGTGCCATGTGTACATGAGTGCCTGGGCAGCTCTGCATGTGCTCACATGATTCTCATGCAGGCTCCATGCACCAGCTAAGGATATGCATATGGCTGGGCCTTCCCATGCTGCGAGGCACAGGCAGGCTCTAGGGAAGGGCCAAACCAGCCAAGCCAAGCCCAGACCTGCCTTAGCTTTTCCATCCGCTCTGTGCCGTCTCCTCCTGGACCCGCTAGTACGTACCCACTGGAGGAGGTGCTTGGGAGCGTCCTCCTCATCCCGGTGCTCGAGGGGTTCAGGTCATAGGCCAGATGACCTTGCAACTCTCCCAGAGAGAAGTTTGGCCCTGTACCCGTCACCACCGGTGCTGTGGACCACAACAGAGAGAGGTGCGTCAGAGAGGCAATGGGGGAGGGCTGGAAGGGTGTGCTCACCCATGCTGGGCACAGTGCCCCCATCCCAGGCTTCCCTGGGCCTGTGCCAAGGGAAAAGCATTTGCTGACTGTATCTCTTAACCTGCCCCAGTGGTGCACCCAGCCCCGGATCCAAAGCCTCCCTGCTTTTTCACCAGTCCTAACTGGTGTCTTGCAGGGGCTCTGTAACACAGCTACTGACACAAGGCCACCTGGCCCTGCCCAGACCTGTTCACCAGGCCTGCAGTGAGCTCTGCATGTTCTGCTCTCCCTCCAGGGGCTGTGGAGGTGGAAAGGGAAGTCTGTCTGGATGGCTCTGACACACCCAGGAACAGCAAGTTCACCAGCCCCCTGTGAACACACCAGTGCCCTGGCAGCTCTCACAGCTGCAGTGACGCAAGCTTGCCGCCGCTCACACGGTACTCACTTCGGGAGACTTGGATGAGCTCCGTGACGCTGAACACTCCCGAAGTGACGAAGCTTTCCTGGAAGTCTGTTGAATCTGCCCAAGGAAAAGAGAGGGGAAAGCTGAGAGGAGCTGGGAGCCGTGGGCCTGGCCCCACTGAAGTTACTGGCAGAGGCACCAGCTGACCTCAGAGGTCACCACCACCCACCTGCCCCTGCCCTTTGCCATGAATCCCATGGCCAGCTGCTCATCTGCCCTTTGCACTGGGCCCTGCTGGTGGACACTGGAGGGGTAGTGTTTTTTGCCTCCTGCTGTGCCAGCCCCGGGATGAGGTTTCTGTGGGGGAAGCTGGCAGGCTCATTGGCAGTATCTGGCTTTGGGAAGGTGAGGGAGGATCCCATAGAAGTTCTGGGGCTTTCCTCTGCCCACGCTAGTTTTCAACCTGAGTTACTCAGCAGTCAATAACTTGAGTTAGCTGAGGCCTCACCCAAACCACCAATGTTTATAGCCTAGATTAGCACATGTGAACATGCCAATGTGCTTAACTGCAGCCTATCAACTTGGCTTAAGAGCTCCTGTAGCCAAGCAGGCATTGATGTGGTGCAGAGCCACTGATGTGCCCTGCTATGTCTCCAGAGGTCCACCATCGTGCCCTGCTTTGGGGTCTTGCTATGGGCTGCCCCCACTTAACCAAGGTGTAAACAGGCACCTCATCATTTGGCCTGGGGAATCAAAGGCACCAGTGTGACACAGGCCACATCACTCCTTTGGTAGCACTGGCTATAGAAACTGGTGGGCTTCATTCTCACTAATGCAGCTGGCCATGAGGCTCAGGGAGACTTGGCTGTGGCAGTCACAGGGCAGGAGGCCTCTGAGTTGGGAATACAGGGAGAGTCTTTTGCCCCCGCTAGCACTTGAGTCACAATCCAGCCCACCTCCTTAGGGACTGAGAGCCATTGCTCCTCAATAGCCTAAAGAAGGGGAGTGACAGACACTTGTCAGACAGCTGATCCAAGGTTGGAACCAGTCTCAGTAGAGAGGCTGGGACCATCAGGGCTCTGTCCCTGCCAGGCCATGTTGGGAAGCTATCCCTCCTGCTTCCTGCCAGGACTGGGGGTGTCCAGATGCTGCTGTCCCCAGGCCAGTGACAACCCTGCAGATGAAGGTGAGCATAGTGGCAGGTGTTTCCACCTCTGCCTGTCCTAGTACCTCCTTGAGCTGCAAGTGGGGGAAGCCTGCTCTAGTGGTGACTAGCACTCCAGGCCATTCTGCAAGCAGTAAAACTACAGTTGCTGCGCTTGGGACTTCTGCCAGCATCCCAGAGCAGTGAGCAGACAAAGCCCCCTGGGCAGCACTGCCAACACCCTGGCTCCCCCCATCCACTTTGCTCCTTGTTGACAATGCAAGAGCAACAGCCCACAGTGTGCTGGGGGGGAAGAGAGGGGCTCCCTCTCCACCCTGCACTGCTGCCCACTGCTCATGGTTTGCCCCTGCCACTTGGACTCTGTTGGGCTCCGGCAGGGCAAGGGGGCTGGGTCACTTGCCACTGCCACTCGGCTGTGAATCTAATTTCCTACCACGTGGCTGGCGCTGGCTCCCACTCCTTGCACCTGTGTGTCAGATAGTAAAAAATGACGTACGTGTCAGGCTGACCTGGTTTCATTTCGCGCACACACATTTTCTAGAGCCCAGCCCCACAGTGCAAAAGCAGATCTAATCCATGCCATGGGTGCGCAGGGGCTGATTCACAGGTGTCTGCGGGGGCTGCAACTTTGAGTTTCCTGACTTGAAATGGCACTGTAACAGGGATACACCACAGGCAGAAGAGGAATCACCACACTGAATTGGACCCAGGGCCTGACCAACCCAAGATCCTGACCCTGACAGCCATCAGCAATAGCTGCCATGGTGGAAGGGGCAAGACCCCAGGACAGATGTGAGAATTGGTGGGGGTGCTCCTTCCTGACTCTGGTCAGATCAGATCCCCTCAAGCAGGAAGGTTCAGCTCCCTTCCAAATCTCCTGGCTTTTTAAAATATTTATTCCTGGAACTCAGAGTGTTCTTACCACCCATCTCAGGGATCCATGGGGCAGGCACAGGTCTTACAGTTGAGGCTCCAGGGTTTGAGTCCTGGCTCCATTATTACTGTTGTGTGCGAATCAAGTCCCTTAGCTTTTCCATGGGCAAGAAAAGGGACCATTGCAATCATCTTTTTTGCCCTCCTGCACAGTGCAGGCCTGGCCGGCCCAGGACAACATGAACAGAACTTTTGGAAAAGAATGAGTCTTGAGTCACGATCCAGTGGTGGGGAATCTGCCCCGCACCCTGGAAAGCTGTCCACTGGCCAGCTCCCTTCATGGGAAGAGGGCTATCCCTGACTTTAGCCTGTATTTTCCCAATTCTTTTATGTCCCTTGTGACTCTTCTCTGACCCTTGTACAATTTATCAACTTCCTTCTTGATCTCTGGACACCAGGACTGGCCACCAGATTTCAGTAGCAGCTGCACCAGTGCCAAAACCTGAGGGAAGAGGACCTCCCTGCTCCTGCTCAAGTCTCCCTAGCTCACAGAACCAGGAGCTGCATTAGGTCTCCAGGCTGCAGCATCACCTGGAGCCTGCAGCCAGCTGATCCTCCCCTCTCTCCCCATCCTTCCTGGTGGAAGGACCTTATATATGGATGCACTGAAATGTGAACGGTTTCCTGCTCCCAGCTCTCTACATGATACACAGGGCTCTGTGCCAGCCCCCTGCTCCCTGTGCTGCTTACACCTCCCCAGCTATGGTCACCTGCCAGCTTTGTCAGCGAGGGCTTTAGGGCTCCCCCCAATTCACTGATACAAAGCTGGGAACAGAGCCCTGTGAGACCCTGCTAGAAACAGGGTCACATGTGGGTGATTCCCTTTCAGATGCCTTCTGAGGCCCATCATTTGGCCATTTCAATGCCTGGGCCAGGTTCCTCTTCATCAGTCTAAGTTCTTAATCAAACTGCTGTGCAGGACCAAGTGGAAGCTCCACAAATTACGTGATTACATGATGCATTTGCCTGTCACAGCACTGACTGACAGTGACTGAGGAGCCCCCTGCTCCCATCCTCTGTTCTCTGCTCCTGACAACTAAGTCCGTGATATCCACATGATGACCTCAATCAACCAAACTTGTGATCT